AGAAGTTGCGACCATCATCTGACCCCATTTTGATAAATAGATGGACAATAAGAAAACTTGTTTCGAATACATGAATATCTGAAATACTCCATCCCCACAACTCTATTGACGGTTTCGTCCCCAAGCAGCATTAGGGGTCCAAAATTTGAACGGGGGTAGAGCCACTCCATTATAGCAATCAATAATATAAAACAGGATAATCTTTAATAAGTTTATACGACGGTGTCAAACAAACTTATCCAATGACTACCAAAATCCCTCTTAAATTTTTACCGTGTCTTCAAATACGGGTTATCCCTAGTAACTAAATGGTCGATGGTTTTCAAACACACGGGTGCATTTTATAAACTCTTCGAAAATTGGTCTTTGGTTGTAGACCTTTTTTTTTTGTTACTGCTGGCTTTGCAAATTTCTCCAGGTATTGTTTGCCTTGATTTCGATTGTCTTTGACAAATAATTTTTGAGTCCCAAACTTGCCCGAGGTTTGACACCTTAGTGAGGTGAACCCATCCAGATTGAACATGATACATGTTTTGGGCACGCTATATTTTGCTATTGTGACTGCATTATGAATGGGCTAGGATCAATATTTAGTAGATCATGCATATCAATGTACCAACCAAACTGTGGGTGATTCTCATATCTAGGTCGGTCATTGGAATCAAGTGAAGGTCGTAGAGCCAATCGATTTATGAAGGGGCATAGGTCTAGGCTGAGTTGGAGGAACCGTGTGTTTCTCTGATATGGTTCAAGTCAAATCTGACTCCATATCCAAATGCTAACAGACAGTCACCTCTCTCTCTCTGCCCTTTTTTTGTTCTCTTTCTTATACTCAGTTTTCTAATTCTACTTACACGGATTCTTACCTCTGTATTGCCCCCTTTTATATTGGCCTATTTACTGTACATGATCGTGCGCACCCTTCTACTGTTTACAGCTGTGTATTTGCACTCCAAGGTCTTCAGATTTTGCAATCCAACACCGTTATCAGGTATCTGTTCAATCCATGTTGACTAGATTCACACCCAATACTAATCACTTAGTGTGACAAGCTACCCACATTGCAGTGAAGAAGTTTTACTCAATATATCTCTAAGTGAAACTCCATCTAGATTGCCTTGAGATTAGGCCTAGCAATCCTAGACACGCCCCCATGAAATTAACACGAATTCAACACAGATTTAATGGGATTAGGTGTAGTCTTAACGTGTTCGAATAGTTAATGAATTAACTCACTAGGCCCGTGAAATAAACGAATCAGTTTCGTATTTCACCCATAAATTTGTTTCAGCCGTTTAATCAATTAATAGTGGCATTATAAATTTCAAAAATAAAAATAAGTCTCGGTCTCTCTCATGCCTTCCATCTCTCAAACTCGAATTTAGTAATAATTTAATATTTATTTGTTATCTTTATTTTTTTACTCAGTCATAATTCATTGTTACAATAAATAGGTAAAGAATGTGTAATCTGTGGCAAGTTAATGTGACTCGAAATACTCCAACCGATTTAATGTGATTTGAAATTTTTTTTGACATAAACTCGTTGCACTCGATTTGAACTATTTCAACCTAAACAATTGGAAGGCCTTATTGAGATATTGTCAACTTCAAAAGATTGGCCAATTATGTGTTGGGTGTGAATCCAGCCCAAGTGAGATGGACCTACAGCAACACCAACACAAATTTGCAAAATCTAAAGCCGCAATTTTTGAGCACATAATCAGGAGCTCTAAAAGGTGAATGGATGCACCAAAATTTTGTACAGGAAAAAATTGTTATAAAAGAAAAAATTCTCAAATCATGACCCTCGTGTCAATTAAGTTCTTCATTTTTTATTTTTTTGTCATTTGAACTTCTAAATTCTCTAATTTTATCAATTGATATAAAACAAATTTAAGGACTTAATTGACACATGGATTATAATTTGAGAGCCATATATATAATTTAAGTCATGTGTTTAAATTTCGTAATCATCCTCTATTATAATAATATCTAACCAAAATAATAATAATAATAATAATAATCTTACCCGAGTCTATCTACCATCAATCATAAATATCGCCTATTGTATATGGACGCCGTTGTGGTAAAAAGTTTATCAGAAATTTTTAAATAAAAACATAATTTGTCAAAAAAAAAAAAATTAAGTATGTTTAAATATTATTTTATGAAAATAATGTAAGTGGGGTTTGATTATAAAGGGTGTTGGTGTAATTACATAAATTGATAAGTAAAGTATAAAATAATAAAATTTAAATCGTGGGTATCTCGTTTTCTTTAAAGAGATTCAAGCCTTCTCAGATGGCAAAACTCAAATCTGATGCAGCATACTTTTTCATTTGACTTGTCTCCTCTAGGATATAAGAACTCAACTGTTTCATTGAATGATACTAACCATGCACAAGTGGTTGAAGCAAAAGTTACACCATATAAACATTTTTGTGTGTACTCAAGTGTGTGTAGTATGTTACAAAGTGTTGCAATGTATTGGATGATGTTCCGTATGTTTATACTACTTCTAAAAGTGGCTTAAGGTGAAAATTTTTTAATTTTCTTATTTTCCCTTTAAGAATTCTATAATGTTAAACATGTTATATCATCTTATATTTAACTCTTAGACTCTTCAATTTCTAAGAGTAAAAACTCTTGACCTTCAATTTTGTTTATTCACTTTTATCTATTTGTAAGATTTTAAAATTTTTAAATCTTACATTACTCTTTAAAAAATTTAAAGACTACTATGTATCATTTAATAACTCCATTAACTACTTTCTACAACATGATATCCTAAAAGTCACTTGTAATTGATAATAGCTGAAAATTCAAGTTCTACACTTTAACAGTTCCATATCAATAAGGCAGACCAAAAGACAGATGAAAATGTAAACAGTAAATTCCAATCAAATACATAGCTATCCGATGGAAATGACCAAAAGGAAGTCCAATTGGTTGCACTTCTTCCAAAGTTTTAGAATCTCTCTCACTTCCAAAATAATTCTCCCTATGTAAACTTTGGTGTATTCAATTCATGCTTTTAACTCTTGTAATTGTAGACTAGATAAAATCCCCTTCAATATGAAGGGTCTTCTCCTATTTTTTCCATGGTACTCTAAAATGCTTTTGGAATTGTTATTTTTTCATGTCTATCATGCTAACTAACCCCAATATGTTGTTGCAGGGAAACACAGATGTATTGTGTTATAATATCACTTAAGGTGTAACTACTACAAGGTATGTGATGGAAGTACTTAAAATATGTTAAGTCTATGAATTATACATGTAGCCAAAATGATGAAAGAAAAATTTGGGTGCAGTGTGGATTTGCTTCTTGGATTTATATATCGAGTAAGACAGTTTTCATTAAAAACAACTCATAATATTCACTGTAATTTTTGTTCATTTTGTAAAGTACTGCTGTCTGAGAGGCTATTAAGAAAAATGACCTAATAACTTTGCATGATAGAAAACAAATTAAAGTAATTTAGTAGTATACATTGGGAGACAACTCTTGTTTGTTTACATAATGACGTAAAATTGCCTATAGTTGTAGTTCCAAAGTAATTTTGATGGTGTTAATCTTCTCTTCATTTAGTGGATTTGATGATTCAAACTTTTGTTTTATTGACAATAGCTAATTTGGTAACTTTTGTTTCTTGGCGTATACTATCTTAGTACAAGTAATTACAATGCAATGAAAAAAACTGCATAGAATGCTCTTATGCTAACTCTGGAATCTCAAAGGGCAGCCCCTTAGCTGTTGACATGGAGAAGGGTGAAAATTGTTTTTGTTTGATGCTTCCTTTTTCGTTTGTTTGACAAGGTATAAGTTTTCTCTTCTTTTTAATCACTATCTTGACTTTGCTTCGTAGAAGAGAAGAAACAAAATATGAACACTGCTCACCTATCCAGGGAGTAATTAAATGTCATACTTGTTTAGGTATAGTACTAATATCCGTCCCATTTTTATATTTCTATTCATGTCGTGTCATTAGGTGGGATATCGTATAAGAGAAGTCATTCGCTGTGAATCATATTATCATACTTAAAATGTGAAATTTATATGATTGTAGTTTGATTGAAGGATTCACATTTTTTAGCTGCTTTCGAGGTAAAGTTTTCTCTTATCATTATTGTAATGATGTCAATTGTTCATATGATTGGACGGATTTTAATTTTTTGCGCTTGAGCAAGCATAGCTAATAGATCACCTATGTATTTGTAATTTGAGATGGATTTGGTAGGGGTAATATTTGATGGTCGAATATATTAATGCTAAATTTTCTACTGTGAAAAATTAAGTTATTAGGTGATCTATGGACGAAACTAATAGACTTTTAACTCTCAACAAAGATAATAGTTAAAGAACAATTACTTTATTCGATGTAGGAATTCTTAAAGAGTCAAGAAACTGTGTATAAAATAACAAACACATAGTTTACTCAAATGGTTTGATATAGGACTATTTATTTTATGAAGATCTAAATTTTGAAATATTTGATAATAATAAAGAATATTTAATACTCAAAATAGGCTATGTGCATTACACGTGTGCAACAACTATTATATTTAATTGCATTAAAGGTCCTATATATAGCCTCTTAGAAGTATCTAGAGTTCATGTATACACAAAATAAATGTATGTAAGTATACATTTATGTAATAATAATCAATTTATGCATATAACTCATACATCAATGTACATTGGTAAAGTTCATGAATATAGTTTATACATATATTTAATAAATATGGTTCATGAATAGAAGTAAATAAGAGATACATATATGCATCAAGTTTATAATTATATATGTGCATTATACATTTATCTAATAAACATAATTCATGCATCAGAATAAGTATGCTATATGTATCGCTACATCCATATGTACAATATATCCATATAAATAAATGAATTCATATTAATACAATAAATTATATATTAATCTTTGTAGAGCTGTACGGCCATTATACCCGCTCATTTCATAACCAACTTCAATTCTCTCTCGCTCTCTATTCAAGATCCGAACATCTCTCGGTCCAAGCTTCCTCTCCATCACTCACTTCTTCCTCTGCAGTTTGAGCTGAAACCAGGGTAACCCAAAACATGTCACTGTCACCAGATTATGAAAACAAACTGATTGATTCGAACCAAATGAGCTCTACTCACCATCGCCTGCAAATCGGCCTCACCAGCCTCAGAAGCTGTGTTTCTTGGTTGTTCATCACCATTTTAGTCCTCTATGTCCTCTACTCTTCCAAATTTGTACTCAACACTGATGGCCCCAACTGTTCCTTACCCTCATCATTGGACATCTCCACCAAAGAAAATCTAGAAACCATCCCTCTTCTCAAGAACATTTCAATCACACCCACTGATCAACAAAAAACTTCAATACCCATTATTCCTCCGAAGTCCCTACGATTTGATACTGATCTTAAACACATTGTTTTTGGCATCGCTGCGTCATCGAATCTGTGGGAGAAAAGAAAAGAGTACATAAAGCTATGGTGGAGGCCCGGGAAGACCAGAGGAGTAGTGTGGTTGGATAAGAGAGTGAGTACCAGAAGAAATGAAGGGTTGCCGGAGATTAGAATCTCCGGCGACACCTCCAAGTTCAAGTACACGAATCGGCAGGGAAAGAGATCGGCGTTGAGGATTTCGAGGGTGGTCTCAGAGACTTTGAGGCTTGGATTGAAGGATGTGAGGTGGTTTGTGATGGGTGATGATGATACAGTTTTCATAGTGGAAAATGTGGTGAGAGTGCTTTCTAAGTATGATCATAACCAGTTCTATTACATTGGGAGTTCTTCAGAGAGTCATATTCAGAATATACTTTTTTCATATTCGATGGCTTATGGTGGTGGTGGGTTTGCGATTAGCTATCCATTGGCGAAGGAGTTGGAGAAGATGCAGGATCGGTGCATTCAAAGGTATCCTGGATTGTATGGAAGTGATGATAGAATGCAAGCTTGCATGGCGGAGCTGGGGGTTCCACTTACAAAAGAACCTGGTTTTCATCAGGTAAGACTTGAAGTATATGCAAACCAAGACTAGTCAATGATTAAACTGTTTTGAGTTTTTGAATTGGAGTAAACCTGTTTGTTAATATGTCAAAGTGGGTCTGTCGAAAACCATGAAGTTTGTACCCTCCTGTACCCATGTTGTACAAGATTATCCTTTTTTTATTTATTTAGGCACAATTTTAAAACGTGTTAATACAATAAAGTTTCACACTTGCTTATATACTAAATACACACTTTACCGGGTGATGTGGGATATGAAAAACCATTATTTACCTCCTTTTAATTCCAAAAAGTTATTTTCCGGACCCATCTATATAGCCCGATGATGTGACCCTTGGGGATGATTCCCCTCACCCCACTGGTCTGCCAGACTGGGGAGCACTAAGGTATGCACAAATTGTGTGGCCTTGTAACGCTCCATATTCGTATTGTGAAACGAAGATATAAACTCATATTTATATACCACTTTACACGCATTTATCACTTCACACGCATTTTAACATGCGAAATGAAATCTGGGTCATCACAAAATTGATAATTGTCATGTCTTGTGATTTTTGCAGTATGATGTGTATGGGAACCTCTTAGGCCTTCTGGGAGCCCATCCTGTATTTCCACTGGTGTCACTCCATCATCTTGATGTGGTGGATCCGATATTCCAAGGCATGACCAGAGTTCAAGGCCTCCGACGCCTATTTGAATCCATCAAGCTCGACTCAGCTAGTATAATTCAGCAATCCATCTGTTACGACAAGAAGAGGGACTGGTCCATTTCTGTTTCTTGGGGCTATGTTGTCCAAATCATAAGGGGAGTGATCTCTCCCAGAGAGCTAGAGATGCCCACAAGAACCTTTCTTAATTGGTACAAAAGAGCAGATTACACAGCATATGCATTCAACACTAGACCTGTGAGCAGACAACCATGTCAGAAGCCCTTCATTTTCTACATGACCTCATCTAAGTATGATCAAGGTAGGAAGCAGGTATTCGGGGTTTACTCTCTCCATAGAGACCGATACCCTTATTGTCGGTGGAAATCAGACTCACCTGAAAAGATCAATTCCATTGTTGTCTTGAAGAGGCCAGATGGTCTCCGTTGGCAGAAGGTATTGAAAACAATTCCTTTATCTTTCTTTTATATTTGAGGATGCACAAACTTAAAAAGTGTTTATAGATAATGCTATTAGCCCCTATGTTTGAAAAACAATGTTTCAAGATCAATTAGCCAATGTCACTATAGCTTCGAAAAGTACAGAATGAGGTCTTCTCAGTTCATAAGCAGAGGTTTTATGACAAAGTGTAGATGATTGATAATTAAACCAAAAAATACAGAGGAAAACATTGGTAGTTTTCAACTGTTGTTTTGTTGTTGGTGGAGTTCCTGCCGCAGCCCTTGGTTCCAGTCTCGTCTCACATGCCAGCAAGTATTCTAGAAAGAATGACTCAGTTTTGTGTAGCTACTACAGCCCCCCTCTCACCTTTCTAGTCTTCCTTGTGTTGCCATTGAGTAATCAGTTATGATTCGGTTTCATTCCTGATGAAAAAAAGACTAATGCTGCACACAATCTACACAAAATATAACAACATTTCCACATCATTTTGATCCCCTTATGCCAATCCCATCTCAGGAGATTAATTTGTTAACATGAACCAATTTGAGCAATCTATCATTGAAATGTTTCTGTACAGTACAGACACAGACAGAACACACTGACTGATGATGCTCTTCTCAGATCTACTTATGTTTCTTAGTCAACTTCACTTCCCTTTTCTGTTTTATTAGACAATAATAGTACTGACTTGTGATTATACATTTCCATTGTAGTCACCAAGGAGGGATTGTTGTAGAGTTTTGCCGTCACGCCAGAACTCAACTCTGTATATATGGGTTGGAAATTGCCGGGAAGGTGAAATTAGTGAATTGTAGAAGAACAGCTGAAGATTTTTTCTTTTTGTTTTTTTTCATTCATAGAACTGTTTTCTTCCCCATGTTTTTTTTTAATTTGTGACTGTTATAGTGTGACACAAGAAGATGTAACATTGAACCTTTTTATCACAACTTGTTTTTGTAATCAACCTCACTACTGTCCTGATGCTGAAGTTAGAATGTGGGAGTTGTTCTGGTCTTTCTCTACGAAACAACAGGGTCCGAGTTGCATTTTCAATCAGAGGTCGAGTCTGATGGAGAAATCTCGTATTTAGCCAATGTCACTCCACTTTCGTATTAACCTATTTTACATATTTTTGTAGCAATGCTTAACCAAACTACCAGGTCCTTTCTCAAAGTCTGCTCCACAAGCGGGTGATCATCTTCAAACCATTAAAACAAAAATCATATGCTCAAGCTCACCCACGATTAACTTGATTGAAGACTTGCTTACGATTGATAGGAAAGAGAGAAAAACTACTCTCGAGTTTCAATGGAAACCTATAAAACATCAAAACAAACATGGATTGATCACTGCTTAGCTCTCTACTCGATTCATCTGCATCCCAAGAAAAAATCACCTGGTCAAACACACCTGCTCAACAGGAGGAGAAAACGATGAAAAAAGCTTTCAGCACCAACATAGTTGGCTGATTTTACAGAGGAACCAAAGTCGAAAAACAATCACCCCTGACATATTGAAAGCAAGCAAACACAAAGCTGCAATAGTTGCTAGTATACAGGAACTTCCGGAAAGTTGTATACAGGAACTTCTGTCTAACCCCCTGCACCAACTCATATACCTATAGCAGGCTTCCAACCCAAAGTATTCTTTCAGTACTCTCCTTGTATCACCAATATGGAGTTTCGTTGGTGACAGGTGAGAAAGTGCCACCTGCAAGGGCTCCAGCCCCAACTTATCACAGGTCATATAAGGGGCTCCGTGATCCTCCATATATCACTGAGTCAAAGCCTCCCACAATCATGCTTAATCAATATCACAAGCAATTATTTCTTAGAAGGCAAGTTCATCGGGACCATCCCTATGGTTGAAATTAAGCCAAAGTGAAAGATCATGCAAAAGAGAATGTGTATTTATTGAGGACTAAACTAATATAAGGGGATATTTGTTCCTATGCAGAAGCATCTAACATTATGGACCACAGCTCACATTTACACCGAAAGATGGGGAACAAAAAGGCAGAATTTTCCTGTACTATATTGAACGTTGAGAGAATGGGTTGATGGAGCACCTGTTACCATGTGTGACACAAAATCTGATAAGCAGGCACAATGTTTATGGGCATAGCAGAGAGTGCTGACAACTTATTTTAGTCCTCCAACTTGGATTTTTCCTGCCCATCACCAGCCATGGATTTCTACTCATCACCCCTTTTAGGTCTATGAGAAGATGGGCCCCTTCGGGAACTCTGGACAGGATCGGTTTGGGGATCGTAGCTTTGGGTGGCGAGGTAATTTAAAGCCGTAACAACATCACCTACAAGGGGCCGCATGTTAGGTTGCTCCTGGACACACATTGCAGCAATTGCAAGAGCTTGGTACAAGCCTCTCACAGGATATTGACCTTCAAGCACTGGGTCAGCCATCTGGTGGAATTTCCTTCGGTCTTTGAACAATGGTCGTGCCTGCAAACAAGGGATATGCATATATAAGCCCATAGAGCACGCCACACTAGGCATGTGTTATTTCTTTTTCTACTCTGCAGAGATCTCAATTAGTAATTCATCAAGTAGAGCAATTTCCATTATAAAGGTTCCCCATCATCAAGTTTCAAACATATTTGTTTTGTAAAAACCAATATATTCTAATCATTTCTTATAAGGTAATAGTGACATAACAATAACAAAAACAAAAGAACAATCACCTAACAGACAATCATTTTACAAACAACAATGATTTTAAGCTGACTAAACTTGTTAATATTACAGAGTTGAAGCTTTGAAAGTCAAAAAGTTGTATTTGACATAAAAAAATCCTAATACTTTATCAGACGCAAGTAGAGTTTATGATAATAACCTGCTGGTTTTCCCACTGAAAACTGGTGGTCCCTCTCCCTCAAGTGGTTCAAGATCACTAAAACTGCTATTTCTTGCCTGAATACAACCCCATTCCCCTGCCAGAGCTACTCAATCTAAAAATACCATGTTTTTCCATACCAAAACCTTTATATCAAAATGCAAAAATGGAGAATGGGTGGTTATCATGAAAAAAGCTCAAGTAACATGTACCATTTTAAAAAAAAAAAAACCTTATAGAGGCCTCTGGCCCAATTGCTAAGCTGTTATTAGTGCGAGACAGTTTAAGGTGCAACACAAACCAAGATGCTAAGGTCTTGTAGGGCCGAGGCACGGATTTAGAATTGGCAAACTTTCGTAACATGGGCCAGAGGCATAACTCATAAGAATTAAAAGCCACCAAAAAAAAAAAAAAACTAAGGATATTTAAAATTTGTAAAATAAGCATTACAAAAATCATGTAGCATCCAAGGTCTATTCCAGATTTTTTAAATGCTTCTGGTTGGCAATCTAGAACTAAGCAAAGGATACAATTCCAATGAAATCCATAACTAAAAGACTAAGCAATTAGGTTTAAGGATCTAATCAATCACAGTGATACACAATTACACAGTAACACTGTAACGAACTAAAAATAAAAATGGCAAAGAATAAAAGTCAGAATTAGCTATTTATGACTGTGGCTCTAATCTGGTGCTGTGCACGTCAAGAATTTCAATAAAATTCAATAGATCCAATATCCCAAAATACATCATTGAAGAGAGGAAAAAAGCTCATGCCTCATGCACGGGTTTAAGCTCGAGGAATTTGGCTTGCCCGCCTCAACTGCATCTCAGCGAAGTCGCCTAACCTCAGGCTGATTGAGGCACTTTAGATGCGCCTTGCCTCATCTAATGCTAAGGCGTGCCTATGTACACTTTTCAAAGAACAGGTGTGGGATATAAGTACCCCAAAAAAAAAAAATAAATAAAATAATAAAAATAAAGAAAAGCAAAAGGCATAAGCTGATGTTAACACCTAAAATATAATATAATGGTGCAAAACATTGGATACTTTATGTGGCCCCATTCTCCAATCCAACGAGTCAGTTCAATTAGTAGAGCCAAAAAACAAAAGGTGATTGCAGTGGGTGAACATCAATCCTTTCAAGGAAGAACCTTTTTATTGACTGGTAACAGACGCCTCATCCTATCCTGGCAACTGGACATATAATTCCATCTACTATGCAGTTTAGGCAAGTGTTACAATAGACCATGCCCATTTTGACGCTGATATCATGTCTATTCACATGTGACAAATTGATCAGCATACCTTTTTAAAGACTATCAAAGACTATCTTATTCATCATTCAACCAAGAACGATACTAGCGGGAGAGATTATGAAACCAGAAATCTTACCCATGCAACCAGATTTTGCTCAGCAGCGGATCTCATATTATCAATTGCTTTCCTACCAGTGATGATCTCCAGAAGAACAACCCCAAAGCTGTAGATATCTGATTTGAATGTCAACTGGCCAGTCATTGCATAGTCGGGTGCACAATACCCATAAGTGCCCATCACCCTGGTGGAAACATGGGTCTGTTCCCCAGATGGACCCACTTTGGCCAAGCCAAAATCAGATAGCTTAGGATGATACCCCTCCCCCAGTAAAATGTTAGAGCATTTCAAATCGCGATATATTACAGGGGGTTTCATCTTGTCATGCAAATACTCTAAGCCCTGTGCAGCACCAGCTGCTATCTTCATTCTGGTATTCCAGTCAAGTCTCTTCGTACTAGGTCGAAGGTCTATTCAATGAAAAGAAAACCAAAATCAGGGAGAAGGAAAAGGAAAAAAAAAAAAAAAAAAAGAAGTCATATAGGCACCCCCTTGACAAACACACGCTCACACGCACAAAAAAGCTTTCACCTTATGATTTGCCAAAAGATTGCATGCATGGTAAACACTTAACATGACGATGGTGGGAGGAAGAAAAATAGCAGAATGAGATCAAGCATTAAGAACATAATATACCATGCAGATGGTCTTCCAAAGAACCCAATCGCATGTATTCATATACCAACAGCCGCTGATCTCCATCAGCACAATAACCAATTAATTTAACAAGATTATCGTGGTCAGCCATACTTAATGTTACCACTTCAACAACGAATTCCCTAATTCCTTGGCATCCATTCTGGTCAAGTTGCTTGATAGCCACAATCTGCACAAAAATGAAGCAATATCAGGTCTCTCACCAGTTTAGCACAAAGACTTAAAGCTCACCGACTCAAATAGAAAGAGGACCGATCAAACGAAAATAACTCTGGCTACTTGCAATTTCAAAAATTTATTCAAATGTGGTTAGTTTCAGACGAACTCGACCAACCTGACCAGTATCCTCCAATTTTCCTTTATAAACTTTCCCGAATCCTCCCTCCCCCAAAAAATAATCTGACTTGAAATTCTCAGTTGCAGTCACCAATTCGGCAAATTTAAATTTCCGCGCATTGACGCCTTCAGGTTCTCCATCCGTGGAGGACTTCTTATTCACATCAACCTCTTTGGCAGCCAAAGATTGATTAACATTCTTTGAGTCCTTCACACCTTTATGTGGGCTGACTTTCAGTGTATCTAAGTCAGTTATACAAAAAACACAAAAAAACATGAGGGTGAGTGAGGACCAGGCCCATCTGAAGAACAGAGAAAAAGACAAGAAAGGCACATGGTCACAAAAAGCCAAAAGATCGATTCCAATATGATCCTAACAAAAAGGGTATGAAGAATCCACAATTATTGAAATCTTAAAGCAAACAAAGAACCTTGGAAATAAGAAAAATAAACTACCAAAGCACATAAGAAAATGATTTTTAGCTAAATTTTCCCAAAATACTATGGCTGCAGCATAGCGTCATTCACCACCATCCAAACCATCCGTAAAGAAGAATACAATAACTCCTGAAACTGATGACAGACTAATCACTTCTTAGAAAAACACCTTGCTTCAAAAACCATCTTATAGCACATCCATAGAAAACATGGACCTACAGGAACACACACACACACCCCAACATTTAGTGTCTCCGTAATCGTTCACTTCACAGTCCACATCAAAGATAAATTTTTCCTTGATACTGAACCAAAGATGAGGGAAGAAATTGGGGGGAACCCATATGACGAAAATTTTGATATCAAAATTAAAATACCACCATAAAAATAGAATTTTAAATACATCTAGTAAGAAATCCTTTGAAACTCCCAAAAAAAAAAAAAAGAAGAAGAAGAAGACAACAAAAATAGGAGCATCCAAATCAAAAACCTGAATTTCGAAACAAGTGCCATTTCAAATTTGCATGTGTAACAAACAAGGTCATCCACCAAAAAAAAATCTGATCAGTTAACCACAAACCCACATTCAAGAATATACAACAAAATTAATCTCGAAAAACCCAATTTATTTTTATACCCATATGACATCGATCGAATGCACTTGACAATTTGTGAAATATCTAAAGATCAAAAGATTTCTAAAGTTCATACCTGTGGTGGGTTGTATTTGATCATCTCTTTTATTGTGATTCGTGTTGTTGTTATTGTTGTTGTCGTTCCTCTTCTTTTCTGGTTTTTTGATTGATGGATCTCCAGAGCAAGGAAAACAACCCATGCCTTGGCTCTCTGTATATTTCTCTCTCCAAACACGTATATTAGTGTCTCTCTATGTATGTCTCTCTCTCTCTCTCCAGCTACAGGGAAAACAGAACCCAAAACAGAGAATGAGACGAGAGAGTTGCAGAAGTTCTCCAATTTCTTCAGGACAAAACATACAGCTGAGACATTTATATATTTTTCCTTTATTTTTTCATTTCTTCTTATATTTTGGGTTTTTTTGTGGTGATAGTCAGCTGTAAAAACTTGTCGTACGGCTTCCATCTATGATTGACACGTCACGTAATTAGGTAGCAAGTCAAATCGCACTCTGTTTTTGGCCTTGGTCTTATTCATTAGATTTTATACTTTTTACGAATTTTTATATAAAATTTTAGATTTTTATATAAAGAAATTTATAATTTTTGTGATCATATATTTAATTTTTAAAATCGACCACAATTTATTATAAAAATTATAATTTTATAAGAATAATAATATATATCTCAAATTTATAATCTAAATTTGTATTCTAAATTAAGGAGGAATATTGGATCAGTGGGTCTTATTTAATAAAATTCACTGATTCAATGATCCTCTTTAATTTAAAATATAAATTTAGATTACAAATTTTGGTTACATAATAGTATTTAATTTATAACGACGTCAAGGCAACAAAATAAAATTCTCCTAGAATTTAATGGCCTACGTGGCATGTACTGGTTGTTGTGTAATAACTTTATAGCAGCTGGTGTTGCAGCAGATTTTTGTCCTCTTCTTTTCGTGAACTTTCTTCGAATTATCCTTGCTGCACAGGTTGGTCATCGTTGTTATAACACCGACACGTTTAGCACCGTTGATTTTGGCAGAAGGTTGAAAAACGGCTGATCTATGGGGTCTGTGAGCTGTGGTGATTTTGACACACTGACCCACACGTTTTCTGTTGGAGAGCAAATCGACGTGCCGTTGAGAATCCGGTGGGGTCGTGCCTAGGAACCCTAAACCTCCCCGAAACGAAAGATTTGACTTTCAAAAGTAGCCAATAAGATATTGACATTTGGTAATTCTTCAGTTAATGACACGTCATTATTACTATCTTCTCTTTTCTTTGGGTCATTTTGATGTACTTGTTATTAACAGGTGGAATAAATTTTGTGGGGAAAGCTTGACCCACAATAAGTTTTGTAAATATTGCAAAAGTTTGTTATAAATTCAAAACTTATCGTTAAAAATCGAAAAAAATTAAAATTTAGTTGATATATATAAAATAGTAAAATGATTGGGGTTGTCCCACATCGGATAGCCTTTGGGTGTGTGAGTAGTTTAAAATGTCTTCATTGACCCTTACTCTGTTAGAGTAAGTGATTAGTGATTGTTAAAAAGAAATGAAAAAATGCGTATGAGGCTTTTGGTGGTAGGACTCGGCTTCCCTCCTCTTCGTGATAAGTGGTGGTGGGGGTTGGGACTATTCCACATCAGATAGCTTTTGAGTATGTGAGTAGTTTAAAATGTCTTCACTAACCTTTACTCTGTCAGAGTAAGTGATTAGTGATTGATCAAAAGTGATTAAACATAAATACTAGGCAAATTGTTAACAAAATTAACGTTTAAATTCAATGATAATAATATAGTCAATGTAACTTTGAAAATAATGATAATGAGTGGTGAGCTCCGGGAGTGGATATGAAAGGACAATTTTAATTTCACTAGGTAGTTCAAGTGGTAATAAAGACGAATTATAAATTCAGATATCTTGAATTTGAATATTGACAACTCTTTTAAATCAAGTCATGAGAAATTTATCTTTCATAAATACCTTAGTCAAATCATGAGAAATTTATCTCTCATAAATACCTTAGTTATGATATATATAACCTGTCTTTAACTAAATCAGAGAGAAAATTAGTCAAAGTGTGTATAAACTGAATCAGACACCCCAATCGTTGAACCTGAAGAAAAAACTTCTAGATTCATGTTATTGTTCAATGTATTATTAAGACGGTGATTCATTTTAATTTCTAAAAATCTTTGGGTTTTCTTTAACAATGAATAATGCAACAAGGTATGGAGAATCAAATTCATTTTCATTTTGCCAGATTTATCATCAAATTTTCCAGAGACTTTTAAAAAGTTTCTGCGTAGTTTTCGGGGTACACATGACATGATCCTACCAACCAACTGCTATCGTATCGTATTTATGGATTTAATAAAAGGACATCTGCTTCAAATTTCTTCTTCTTCTTCTTCTGCTTTATATAGACATAAGATGACCTGGGAATGTTTGACTTAGGAATGTTTAACTTAAAAAGAATCCAGTTTGCTTCATAGATGCTCAGTCAGATTCTCATTAAATTGGTCTTACTGTCAAACAAACGTAAGGTTTTAACTTTGCCTGTCCTAATCTAGATTAACTGGATTTGGAGATGGATTGGGGATTGGGGCAGTTTTTTCTGGGTAAAGAAAAGTTGTTCCAACTAGGGATGTTAACCGAGGGTTCAGTTGGGTAGGGCCCGACTCCCACTTAATTGGTATTTTAAACGAACCAAGTTTGAAAATTTTTTTAAGTTTATCTCAAAAAACGAGCCTAAAAAAATTCGACTAGAACTCGCAAAATAGTCTAACTGTTCGGGTTCAGCTCAAGCTCGACTTATTTTTTGAACAAGTCAAACTTGAACAATTTTTTAAATTCGTTTAAAAAACCAAACTCGACAAACTCGAGTTTAAGTTCAAAAATTTTAACTTGTTTAACAACCCTAGTTCTAACTAGACTTGTAATTGAATTTCGTTCAGACTCGAATTGAGTTTAAATCTCTACCCTAAAATCCATTTGGATATAAGATGAATTCTATCAACATTTTTGATTCGTTAGAAATTGAAAATTTCATTTGAAAATCAGTATTGGGTTGGAATCAAAAACTCCATTGAAATGAATTTTAGCAAATTATATTGAATGTCAACATAATTTCATTACCTAATCTCTTAGCTCTCTCTCTCTCTCTATATATATATATATAATAAAACAGAAGTGTGTTTAAATTTTATCTCAGTCATATTTTTTCCCTCAAAATTATCATCAATCACTTACCTCACTCATCATCCTTTTGTCAGATTCAAACGTTAAATCAGATCACTCATTTTTATCACATATTTAATCATTTATATATTTCTTCCCTAAAAATATCACACCACTCATTTTTATCATATATTTAATTTTATATTTTATCGTGCCTTCAGTCACAGATTATGATTAGTATATATATATATATATATCATATCTGGAACATGAGCAAGAAAACTTAATTTATGTCACACCATTAATCAACTATTGAATGGATCCATGCGGATCCGCTTTTTATGAAATTCAAATAGTAACGAAAGAATCGAAATGACATTTGGACAAATAAAAAGTCATAAGAAAGAAAATCAAATCAAGCATTACTTGTTCAATCTCTATTTGAGATTTTTTTTTTTCTATTTCCAATCACCTCAACTCTCTCTTTTGCCACGTCTCAAAAAAAAAAAAAAGCAGCAATTATCGAACGTTAGATTGATATATTGTGGGTTTCACGCCTAGTAATTTAAGTGGTACTAATTACGAATTATAAATTCAGATATTTTAAATTTGAATTTAAATTATTTCTTGGAGTCAAGTCATGAATGATTTATCCCTCATAAATATTTTAGTTCTGACATAGATGATTTATCTTTGACCAAACTGAAAAAAAAAAAATTAATCAAAATATGAATAAACTAATTATGACACCTCCTTACTGTTGAACTTCAGATTTTTTTATTACCAAAAACTAAATTCAACTACTGAATCACCTCTAACTTCAGTTATTACCCGATTGCACTAAAACAAAGTTTAAACCCGCTAATTGTGTGTCAGTTTCACATCAAATTCACAGATCATGTGTAGAATTCTCTAATCATACATAACAAATTGCATATTCTAAAGTTCTATCTAACTTCAAAAGATCCGGATTGAAAATGATAATCTAGAAACTCATAGAAATTCCTCCACATGGAGGGCTCTGATCAAGAAAAGACAAAGCTTGTAAGTTTTTTAAGTGCCGCATAAGCACACACATGTCCATGGCTAATACATTCTGCAATACAATAATCTTCAGTTGATGAACCAACCCTTGTCGTCTAAAGAAAGGTTAAACCAAAAAAAAAAACAGCCTATTTGAGTGTAGACACTTAGAAAGATTATACACTGGTAGTTGATATGGTGCTGGCCCAACCCTTTTTTGATATTTCCAAGAATTTTTAATATTAAATTAAGAATTAATATTATAATTAGTCCATAAAAATTTTAAGATGATTTTTAAAATTTTAATTATCTTAATTTAGATTATAATTTATCAATTTTGTGTTAATAAAATCATTCCGTCTATTTCACCCATTAAAACAAACAAAAACACATGACGTGAACGATCACATATCAAACACATGAGCTTGTCTCTTTTTTTTTCTAATGGGTAAAATAGACGAAAGATTTTTATGGACGCGAAATTGATAATTAAAAGATTAAATTGAGAAAATTGACAGTATTTGAACCGTTTTTAAAGACTGATTATAATATTTATCATTAAATTAAGGGTTAACAGTATTTTTGGTCTTTAAAATATGCATTTTTTATTAGTTTAGTAATCATTGTATCAATTTTGTTCTTAAAGTATTCAATTTGTGTTATTTTGTTCACTATATAGACAGACTATTAAGTTTTTTACGGAACGATTAGTTGTTAGATACGTTATACTGTCTAAAATAACACATGATAACTTTCGTCAAAAAAAAATTAACGTATTATCTGATTAGGGATCAAAATAATACGGATTGAATATCTTAGGGACCAAATTAATAAAATAATGACTAAACTGACAAAAAATACATATTTTGAAGACCAAAAAATGTTATTTAACCCTTAAATTAATGAGTTATCAAAAACATTAATAAATTAATGAGGATGATTAGTGTAGAGATTTAGTTTGGTAAGGTGACAAATGGGTATGCACATGTATAGGTGTCAGATATCAGTACAGTCGTAGAGAATAAGGTCGGTTTTGAAAGGTACTAGTGAAAGAAAATG